TATCAAACATTCTTTTGGCAAGATTAACTTCACATGTGAATGAAATTATTGGGGATCATCAGTGCGGGTTCAGACGTAACAATTGATCAGATCTTCCGCATCTGTCAGATACTGGAGGAAAAATGGGAGTACAGTGGGGGCGTGCATCAATTGTTGATAGATTTCAAAAAAGCATATGACTCTGTTAAGAGAGAAGAGTTTTACAATATTCTCATTGAATTTTAATATCAAAGAAGCTAAAGAGTCTAATAAAAATGTGCTTAAATTAAACCTGTAGCAAAATTTGTGTACTTAAATATTTATCTGAGACATTCTTCATCAAGAACGGTCTAAAACAAGGAAATGCTTTGTCTCCCTTGCTCTTTAACTTTGCGCTAGAATACGCCATCAGGAAAGTCCAAGACAGGCAGGAGAGTTTGCAATTGAACAGGACACATCAGCTGTTGGCATTTGCTGATGATGTTAATTTATTGGGGGACGATATAAATACAATAAAGAGGAACGTAGAAGTTTTACTAGAGGCTAGTAGACAAGTGGGGCTGGAAGTAAATTCAGAAAAAACTAAGTACATGTTGGTATCTCGTCATCAGAAGACAGGATTATCTTAGGGTGGCTGATAAATCCTTTGAAAGGGTTACAAAGTTCAAATATTTGGGAACAACAATAACAAATCAAAATGATATTCACGAGGAAATTAGGAGACTAATTTCTGGAAATGATTGCTACTTTTCAGTTCAAAATACTTTGTCTTCCTGTCTGATTTCTAAGAACTTAAATATTAAAATATACATAATAATTTTGCCTGTTTTGTATGGGTGTGAAACATGGTCTCTCACTCAGAGGGAGGAACACAGATTGCAGGTGTTTGAGAATCGGGTGTTGAAGAGGATATTTGGGCCTAGGAGAGAAGACGATGGGGCGTGGAGAAAACTGCCTAATGATGAGCTTAAAAATTTGTACTCCTCCCCCAGTATTGTCAGGGTGATTAAGTCAAGAAGAATGAGATGGGCTGGGCATGTAGCGCGCATGGATGGGACAAGAGGTGTGCACCGGTTATTGGTTGGGAAGCCTGAGGGGAAGAGACCTCTGGGGAGACGTAGATGGGAGGATAATCTCAGGCAGGATCTATGGAAGATAGGAGTTGAAGCAGACTGGATTTTGTTGGCCCAAGACAGGGTCTGGTGGAGGGTTTTGGTTAATTCGGTGATGAACCCTTGGGTTCTTCAAGCCATCTACTTAGTTAATCCTTCAATATTTGGTTTAATGTCTGTTGTTGTAACTCATACACATCCATCCAAGTGTTCATCATTGAGACATGTGTTAAACTTTGACTTAGCATTCTTTATTATGCTCTCCTATTGCTCTGTAATAATTACTGCACCATACTGCTGTCATTACCCCTTCTTCTCCTTCTTCTTATAGCGTTATAACCCTGTGTGGGTCTTAGCTTGTTCGATGAATATTTTCCATTCTGTCCTATCATTCACAATTCTTCTCCATCCCCTTACTCCCATCGTCCTCACATCCTCCTCCACGTCGTCTATCCATCGTTTCCGTGGTCTCCCTCTCATCCTTCTTCCCATCGGTCTCCATTCCATCACTCTTCTAGTTACCCTGTTTCCTTCCATTCTTGCAACATGGCCAAGCCAGGCTAACCTTTTGCTTTTGATTAGCCTCACGATAGCTGCTCCCTGTATGATACAATCTAGTTCATGATTCATCCTAATTCTCCAGGAGCCATCACTATTCTGTATTGGACCATAGATGTTTCGTAATATTTTGCGTTCAAATATTCTAAGTCTCAAGTCTTACATTCTAAGTTGTTGCTCATCAAAGCTAGTTAATGTCCAGGCTTCACATCCATATGTGACTACTGGTCTTATCAGAACTTTATAGATTCTCAGTTTAAGTTCCCTCCCCAGTATTTTAGACTTCATTAAATTCTGATGGGCATAATAACATCTATTACCATTCACAATACATGCTTTAATTTCATTAGTTATTGAATTTATATTATTAATCTGTGAACCCAGGTAATTAAAATTCTGCACCTGTTCAAAATTATAATGTCCTACTCTCAATTTATTTGTGACATTTCTTGCTGCTCTTGTAACTTTCATATATTTTGTTTTCAATTCATTTATTTTTAGCCCCCTTAATTCTGTTTCTTCTATCAATTTTAATACTGTTTCTTCAAGTGCAGCATTATTCCTGCTAATAATAGCTAGATCATCTGCATATGCACTCACGTGTATTGATTTGATGCCTATATGTCCTGAGATCTCAAGTTTCCGAATAGATGCTTCCAGCGTCAGGTTAAAAAGCATTGTTGAGAGAGCATCTCCTTGTCTAACTCCCATATTGACATTAAATGGTTTAGTTAGCTCACCATCTAATCTTACTACTGCCTTGGAGTCTTTCAACGTTGCTCTAATGAGCCTGACGTATTTAGATGGTATCCCTAGTAGGAGAATATCGCTTAACATTTGGTCCCTATTGAGACTATCAAATGCTTGTCTGAAGTCCACATATAAATTATGTAAGTCAGTATTATATTCATAGGCTTTCTCTTGAATATGTCTCAATACAAATATCTGGTCTATTGTTGATCTATCTGCTCTAAAGCCACACTGATACGCTCCTAACATGTCTTCTACATATACAACCAATCTTTTATATGGAATACTTGACAAGATTTTATATATTACATTCAGCAGTGTAATTCCTCTATAATTGGTACACTCCATTTTATCCCCCTTTTTATGTATAGGTTGTATTACTCCTAGGGTCCATTCTTCTGGAATCTTTTCTTCTTTCCAGATCAACAATATCAGATTATGTATTCTCTCCCATAACTTGACTCCCCCTTTTTTTAGTAGTTCAGCAGTAATCCCATCACTTCCGGGTGCTTTACCATTTTTCAGACATTTGATTACTTTTTGTACTTCTTCGAATGTAGGATCTTCAATGTAATTGTCCACAGTGTAATATGATGGCTGCTCTGTCTCAATTACATTTCCGGTCAGGATACAACTAAAATGCTCTTTCCATCTATTAACAATATCACGGTTCTCTGTCAATAAATTTCCTTGACTTTCTTTACATGCTACAGCCTTAGGTCTGTATTCTAGTGTTACTTCTTTAAGCTCCTTATGAAATTTTCTACGTTTATTTCTACGATGGTGTTTTATCATACTGTCGATCTTTCTTCCTAACGCTTATCTTTTCTTCTTTCTACATATTCTGGTGGCCAATATCCGTTTTTCATTATAAAGATTTCTATTAGCTCTCGTATTTCG